GATACCGCTTCATGGCAGCCTTGTAGTGCGTGACAAAAAAGTCCATGGAGCAAATCACTTCATCCAATGAAGACTTATCCCACTGAGTATCTTTGGTCACTTCGTAAAACGGCTCTAGAAAAGAGTGTAGCTCCTGCAGCTCCTGCCAATGCTCTGGATGAAGATAATCAAGTCCAATATCACTGTCGGAGTATCTGTCATCGATGAAACTGTTGACCTCCTTTCGAAGGCTGAGAGCAACATGGATCATGCGGTACCATGAGTTCCATCTTGTTGAATTGTCTTGCGGGATCATACGTCCGGCTGCCTGCACGAAAGCCTGATACCGTTGCGTCGATGAGCGAATCCATACCACCAGATTGTGCAACATCCCAAGAGGCCCGTGTTGTCGCCAGGACTGCGCTGTTTCAGCCCTTCTGCCCACGCCGTCATGCTCCCTGCGGGACAGCATTGTCACCTGACGCATCGCCTCATCGGAAGCATCCTTGTTCTTCCCAAACAAGAATGCCTGCACGGCCAGGTTGATGATATGGCCATGGCAGCGCAGCCGGCGGTGAGCTGGGTTGAAGCCGAAGGTGTTGGCGAGAGCGCGCAGCATGGTGTCATTGTTGGATGCATTGTCCAAGGTGAAGTAGCCGATTCTGTCGCGCATCCCGTATGAATCAATAACTTCCGTGAAGATCTCTGCTAGGGAATCGCCGCTGTGTGCACCTTTGAGCTCTCGTAGGGCAAGCAAAGCCTTGCGTGGCTGCCTACTCTCGTCGTTGATGAAGTGGGCCACAATAGCAAGAAGACCATGCTGACTGGGAGAGGACCAGGTGTCGATAGTAAAATGTATCTGAGTGACAGAAGCGGCAATATTGCATGCTAGAGCCTCGCGATGGGACGAAAAGCTGGCCTCCAAAAGCCTCGGGACTTGCCCCCGGCTCTGCGTGACTGTAGCCGGCGCCATGCGATTGACAGTATGAAGTACGGCATACCATTCTGGCCACTCAACAAGGCTATACGG